ATGAAAGTTGTAGGAAATTGTCTCAGCTTTCTTAGGAAAAAAATAAAGGTCATTTGGACTTCTAGAACTTCAGATATGTGTCAAACACTGAACAGTGTTCAGACTATAGAACAGATTCAGACTTCTTCCTTCTTGCTACAATTTAGACTTGAAAATAGCCTTTTAAAATCTTGGGCTTCCATGAAAGTTGTAGGCCTATGTCTCACCTTTCCATCCATATAAAGTAGACCTAAATCTGAGATCTACAGCTCTGGATATGACCCAATTATCGAACAGTATTCCGGTTTGGACTACACCAACATCTCTTTTCTAAGTTTGGTCATCTCTTTGTCCTTTGAATTTTAGTTCTTGAACTTATCAATCAATCATTTCATTTATGTGATAGGCCTGTATTTAAAATGAACATTTACTATAAATTAAAGGTATCTTATATTATTATATATGTTATTATAAAACATGCTTTAGTTAAGGAGTTATTGATACTTTAAGTGCAAAATGATGATATAAAACCTTGATAAAAATGTATTTTTTAGTACTAATCACAACCAGTTTCCATAACGAATCTCTGAGACCAATTAGGGTCTCTAATAACTATAATATTAGGTGGTGACTCCCATTCAAATTTTATACTAATAAGAGACACAAGAATTTCTTATCTCTTTATATTTTACTAGAAATATACCATATTTCATTTTTTCTTGAAGGGTGGACAATCGTCGCGATGCCACACATGTATGACAAGCATTAAACCTAAAAAAATCATGAATCACGAATTTCAATAAATCAAATTTTAAAGGAAAAACTAAAAAAAATAACAAAAAAGGATTTAAAAGAAATAATAACAATTAAAAGAATGAGAATTAAATTTGAGAAGAAAAAAAAGGATGAATAATTTTAGATTGAAGAGCTAAATTGAAAAGAAAAATCAATTCCACAAAAGAACCAAAAGATAAAACCACAAAAAAAAAAACGATGACTGAATTTAAAAAAAAATAGCTAATTAAAAATTTTGATTAAAGAATAAAGTTGAAAATAATTGAAAGTTTACAAAAGATGCAAGAAAAAAATGAAGAAGAAAAATCAGGATCAAATTTTTTTAAAAATAAAAAATTTAGATTAAATGATGAAATTAAAAAAAATTACAAAAAAATCATAAATAAAAATTACAAGTCAAAAAAATAAAAAATAATACATAAATATCCTTAACTAGAGGAGCTACCCTAAAATTATAAATATCGTGCGTGAATTTCAAGTGAAAAAAAAAGGAAAGAAGGAATTAAAAAAAAAATAATCAATATCATAGAACCTAATGGCTTTTGGCCATGTGTGGTGCCTCCTGGGGAAGGCAATGTTAGGAAGATTCAATTGATATTGCAAAAAATAGAGTTTAACTATAGGATGACTCTACATGCTGCATAAAAAATACAAAAATTATTTATATATTGATGTTTTTAAAGTACATATTAATAACTTTTTATTTTAATAATATTTATATATTAAATTATATAATTACCCCTTACCAACCTAACCATTACAAAAAGGCTCGAGTGCAAAGCCAAAATGACAAGATCCTAATTATAAAATAACAACTTTTTAATATAAGGGTACAAGGGTGATTAAAAAAATATAAAGACGTTATTACTCCTTTAAATTCTTGAATGCCAAATGGAAACTTGTAAAATAACTTAATTACCCTTAATTGAATGGGTTTGTTGGTTTCGTTTTAAGGGAGAAATGGTATTTCACCTCAAAGCTTGAATAACCCACCCGTTCCCTTCAATTGTTTTTTTTTTTTTTTCCTTGTACTTTGCTTCACTAGCTTTTAATCTCACCCTCCGTTACAAACAAAAAGAGGTAGAGAAAGGAAAACAACGTGAATGGTGGATCCATCATGTCCGGCGAGTGAGCGCACAATGTCACCTCTATAGCAAAATGACCGTGCCTTTCAGTATTTTACATTAGCTATATGGTTTGTACTTTACTAAGAGTTAGATGTTTTTTTTGATAAAAAAAATATTATATATATATATAATTAAATAAATTAAAAATTATTTATGTTAATAAATAAAAAAATATTAACAATAACTAAATATAAAATTAAAAAAATCAAGAAATATATATAAATCATGATATTTGATCTTGCAATACAGGTTATATATTTGATTGTGTTCATGACTTTATTTATTAAAATTATATTTTTTATTTAATCAAATAATAATAGAAATAGATAAATATATAAAATTGATTAAATAAAATCAAAGAAAAAACAATATTATGTAAGGTTGCACATATTAAAAATATTATCAAAAAAAATATTTCTTATTTTTAAAAATAAATTTCATTTATATAAAATATAAAACAAAATTATGGATGAATTAGAATAATCTCTTTAAAAATTATACACACAAAATAATCTCTTTAGCAGTTAAAATCACCATCTTAGCAGTTAAAATCAATGTAAACGCTGATCTTCTCTTTTTAACATAATAATTCAACGATTCTTTTTTTTTTTTAATTAGAAATTTTAAAAAATAGAAAAAAAAATGATGTTTTGGACTAAAATTGACTTTTGTTTGCCATTTAAAAAATTGAAGGGAAATATTTAGAAAAAGTATGAGGACTACATTGTATATTTCTCCCAAAGGTCAAAAAAGCCAACAAATTCCTCAATGTTTTTTACTTTGGTCTTGTGTCTTTCAATCTTACCCTCCCCTGACAAATTAGTCTAAGTTTACCTATAATTTAACCCAATAAAAGCTAAATAAAAAAGAAGAAGAAAAAGGGTGGGGAAAAAAGATAATGTGAACAGTGCATCATCAGTGTCTTTTGAATATGAACAATGTAGCTGCTAGTAGTGTAGAAAGGTTACGACTTTTAGGTTTACTTATAACGTGACAAAATTAATGAACACCGACTTTTCTCTTAATATTCCAAACCCAATTACACACACACACACACACACACACACACACACACATACACACACTAATTCATTGATGAGGGTTTAGCAAAAGGGGTCAGGCAAGCCGAAGCTGTCCGTGTCTGTTAATGTAATCCTAATATAGTTTAAATCCAGAAATGAATGCATGGTGGTGCTAATGGTCTTGCTGGAGGACCATTAGTGTTATCATTTATGAGGGACATGCCACCATGGCTTTAATGGAAAGTATCTTCGAGCTTGAAGGCCTTGATTGGGGCAGAAGTCGGATTGAAGACGCATTGGAGATGGAGAAATCTCATTATCAAGCCACCAAACAAACTTTATTGCACTAGAAAAGATAGCTGTACATATTACAGGGAGGAAATGGATCGGAGCTACCTACAAAGGAGTTGGAGCTATTCTTTCACAAACATACTAGTGCATTCTACAAAGAGTCAAACTCATTCAACTATTCACGTGGCCCCTCATGTTGAACTCACAACCACATAAAAGCCCTTTTTCCCTTCGTCGGAATACTTAGATTCTTAAGATTTTGGCGGAGAAGACAGTCGCCTATTTTGTGGCTGCGAGAACTGCTGGTCCCTCCACCTGAAATTCATGCCGTCGTCATTGTTAATCAGTAGAACCAAATGAGACTCACAGAGAAACAGGTGGTTTAAATAAATTTCTAAGCTCTACTGATTCATATATATGGACAACCGATTTGCTAGCTTCTTTTGTACACCGCCGTGTGTGACAAGTCACCTTGATGTTTAATTAATTACCTTAAATGTAGCACCCCAGATCTCTTCCTCCTTGGCCGGAACTGCAGTGATCTTGTTTTTAGGATTCTCAAAGCTTCTCAGTTCTCCAACTGCAGTGGAGAAGAAGCATCCTGCAAAATCCAGTAGCCTTGTCAGGTAAAAAAATAAAAATAAAAATAAAATCCCATTCCTCCTTGCACATGCTCTCTTTTATGTTGTTGCAATAGCACTCAACTAATGGATCGACACGAGCAATCAATCAATGGTAGTTGGTCCGCATGAGACAAGACTAGACTCGCATATTATATTATAATTTTTATCACACCCACCTTGAGGAAAAGAAGCAAGTGACTTGCCACAAGCACCCTTCAGCAAATCAATATTGTCTGCGAAAGCAACGTATCCATCAGCAGTGATTCCCCAATACAGAGGAACCTTACCAAATTGGTCCTGTAAAAAAAATACCAACCCCATTTGTATTTAGAAACCAACCGAATATCTTAACTTCACCAAGGCATTTCGTAGGTATGAAATCGACTTACAGAAGCCACAAATAAAGTGGAAGTGGACTTGTCGAAGACAATGAATGCAAAGCTCCCACTAAGGTGACCAACAACGTGGTTAGGAGGGTAAGGTGCCCGATCACGAAGAGCCTTGTAAGCCTCAATGACCAATATCACCTCGTTCGCAGACTTGGCTAGGCCATATTGCTGCCTTAGGCTACCCAAGTTGTCTAGAGCTCCCTCAAACAAGCAGTAGATCTCATCCTTGACTGCAAATGATCTGTCATTTTTAACATCCCCGGCCCCCACCCAAAAAAAAAAATTAGCCATAGGGAATTTCTAACAAATTGGAAGAGCAACAACGGTTGATGGCGAGCACATTATATATTTATTAAATCACCAATTTATTAGCAGTTCAATCATAACAATTGCATAGACAGGCATACACGCACTTAGTCTCAACTTGAAACCCTTTTTTCTTGACCTAGCGAAGGTGCAATCTTTACAAGGCAACAGACAAAAATCTGGCCATAAAGTCTAACAGGTCATCCAGCCCACCTACCAGAACCACGGATTTTTCCCATCATCCATGAGCTAACCCGGATTCCTAGGATAAGCTGGGACCATCTTGGGTCCCGCATGCAAACCCAAGTCACCTTATCCTTATCTAGTTATCCATCCCCTGTCCATGCCTCGAAAGAACTGAAGAAAAGATGACAGGGAAAACCCACTTGATGTTATCACATCATACTTCATAAAGATGACAGGGAAAGCCCACTTGATGTTATACCCATAAAAATATATATATATTAAAAGTTGCACCTAACTTTCCACCTTGTTGGCCAGGGACGCTGCTTTCTCTGAAGTCTCAAGTAAGAGGACTTAAATTCCCTCTAAAGAGTTGAGAAGTATTTTTCTTACATCAAAATCGATTGAGGTGGAATCACATTCTGACAACTTGTTCAATTTTTAAATAAGAAAAGTAGTAACTTCCGTCCTCTATGGCATTATTTCCATGATCAATTTCTAAAACATCGAGACAAATATAGCCTAGTTTTATTTATAATTTTTTTTTAATTTAATAAAATAACTTAAATTTATGTAGTTATCACATGACATAATAAGATGGCAATGACATACGAAACCAAATTTCAAAATATACACAGGAAGTGGGACCAATTGGTTTGAATGCTAGTTGTGACTCCCCTATAAAACGACAACGTTATGTGTAAACATGATCGAACCGTCCACGTTATCCAAGGTCCACGTGTTGGGCTCAGACATCCAGAATCTATTGTCCCGTCAAAGACATTTTTAGACGCGTGTGGCTTGATATTCAGTGGAATATGATAAAGTCTCTTGGAAACGTATGTACGCTTGATTCCGTGTATACAACTACGTGGCAGTCATGCAATGATATGATGATGATGTAACTGACCCCACAAAACACAATCCCCTTGACAACAGAGATGGGCCAAACCACTCGTGACTTTACTTTTATGATTGTGTTAGTGAAAATCACGGCCATAGAATTAAGTTGCATCAGTTTAAATAGTTTAATTTAGATTAAAAAATTCAATTAAACTTTTTTTTTTTTTATTTTGATCCACACTAAAATATACAACTAAACCGATTTGTCCGGTTTTACATTTGTTAAAATCAAATAAATTCAATTTAAATCAATAAATTTATAATTTATAATAAGTTTCTTTTTTTTTTTCATCAGTTTTCTTTGGTTTCTTTCAATTTAAATCGGGGTGGTTTATTAGTTTCTAGAATTTAAAACCAAACTCCAACCAAAATCTTTTAAAAGATTTTATTAAATTTTTTTAACAAATTCAAAAAATCGTTTAATTCAGTTAATTTCAAATCAAATTTTAAAGATATTTCAAATAATTTGATTAATTTGCCCACTCAACCTGAAATCTCTAAGTAATCACTAATTAAAGGAGCACTACAAGATTCTTCAAAACAAATACAACATTTAAAATAAATTGCTTACATGACTTGATTTAGACAAACAAACAATCGACACATAATTAACTGATTTTTATTTTCTTGGAAATCTAAATTAGTCTAATTTTTGTTTCATATTTTTTAATTTGAACGATAAGGATCAAGTAACTTTGTTGCAGAATATACGAAAATTTAAAAATTTACCCAATAATCTATTTAAAAAGATTATTATTTACCTTAATTTCAACAGTCTTTTACTTATAATCTACTTTTTCATTAATTAATTAATAAAATTACTATCTAATAATTCGTATGATCGATCATCTATGCCTTAATAGAATGTTGACTTCTGTAGGACGGCAAGTGAAGAAGGTTGATAAAGAATCAACCCTCCGTTCAATCACCGCCAATCCAACGGCCAAGATCTTCCACTCAAACTACAATTCGCGATTTAGTAGCGTTGCGTTATCCTTAAATAGACACGTGGCATAACGATGATTAATGAGAGCGTTTCTCTATTTTTTAGGTACTGTTTAGTTAATTACCTCGGAAGCAGCATGGACTCGTTGTGGTGAGTGAAGGCCACCTGCGAGTCGTCTCCGACCCGCACCGACACGGCGGATGAGTTGGTGTCAACGAATCTCTTAACCAGAGCATCCGCCGAGATCTTCGGCGACGGAGTCCGGCTTCCCGCTGCCACAAGCTCGTCGGGAGGCGACACAATCGCGCTGCTAAACACTCCTAACATTTTCTTAAAATAAAAAAAAATTATTTTCTTTTGCAAGAAATACACACAGCTTTGGACATGGAATCATCAGCGGTAGAGGCGTCGGGATTTATAGGAAAATTTGACGAGGGTATGTCGTAATTTCATTTATTTTGGGGAGTTTTTATTATGATGTTGTATAGTACAATGGGGACATGTAACGTGGGGGCCACAGGGGCGATGATTCTCGGGCGTCAGATGACGTGGAAAAGGTTGTGGGACCCATTTTTGATGTTTTTGTCTGATTGTGATAAAATTTCACGGGAGAGATATTTATGAAAAATTGACTGTTTCTTTAAATGTTTTTTTTATTTTAAAATATATTAAAATTATATTTTTTTATTTTTAAAAAATTATTTTTAATATTAATATATTAAAATAATTTAAAAATATTAAAAATATATTAATTTGAAGTAAAAATAATAAAAATATTTAAATATTTTTAAAATATAAAAATGAATAAGATTTTAATAAGGTATAGAAAGAACTAAGTTTTTATAATTACGGTATATTTTAATTGTAGGAGAATTGTTTGATTTAAGTGATTATCTTATATGTTTTTATTTGTTTATTTTTTGGGTTAAATTTAGTATTTTGTTTTAAAAATTAAATTAAATTAAATTAAATTAATAAAATATAAACATAAAATATTCATTTTATAATATTTATTTGCTCGCTTTTTAGGTTATTATTCATATAATATGTGCAACTTCTTTCGATATCATCATTTTTTCATAATAACATTATAGTTATTTTGATGAGTTTTTTCTAGTATTGAGTTTCTAATAATCTTGTTTTTCCTTTCTTATGGAGTATAATAATACTGATAATTTCTTTTTCTATTGTTATTTATTGTCATTTTTTTTATTTATTATTAATGTTCTTTTTAATCATATTATAAGAGTGACTATATTTATTAAACTCAGTCAAGTTAATAACTCATATCTTATATTTTTTTTATTTTTTTTTAAAAGCTAGTTTTATCTAAATATATTTTTTATATTAGAAAAAATTTAACCTTATTGCACCGTATTGTGTGCAACCTATCTAATAATTTGTATTTTATTTTTTATTTTTCTAAAATTTAAAATTTAAAATTAATATTGAAATTTAAAACATATTTAATTATGTTTTGTTAGGGTAATGAGAGAATCCAAATCCCTTTTTGCTTTTCAAGGAAATGATTAATTGTGGAGTTAATTTAGGATAATATATATTTTTTTTATAATAAAAAATATTTTCAAATCTACTTGTGTTAGGATAAAGTAACAATGACTCCCAAAATTTTAGAACTTTTTAAAATTGATGCTGGTTTCCCAAAAGCTTTCAAAATAGTTTTGGAAAAATGCCCCAAACCCAAAATTAAAATGTTGCACATTTGGGCTCTCTAAAAGAAATTAATAATTTATTGGTGCTTGTTTTACAAAAAATCACTAACTTGAACAATATTTTTTTTAACTTTATTTTTTAATATTAAATTTATTTATTCTGATCTTATAATTTTAATCAGGAGTTTGACAAGTTAATTTTCCAAAAGTTTTCAATAAAGTTTTTTTATTGATTTATTTTTTTAATTTTATTATTTAATATTTGATTAATATAAAATTAAACTTTATATTGATTAAGTCACAAATTTGGCAGGTTGACTTAAGTTTTTTAATTAATTTTTAAAAAATTTATTATTTAATATTGAGTTAATTGATAATCAAGTTTCATAATTTATTTTAATTTGTTTTATACAAGGTTATTTCAATTACATGATCTGCATTGAGAGTTTAACATGTGAACTCGATTTGACTAGAGTTATTTTTTTTTATTTTTTTAGTTTTAGATTTAATATAAAACTGATTAGAAATTACGTTTTATAATTTATTTTAAATTAATTAAAAATTAAATTTTATATTAAAATTATCCAAATTTTATCACTCAAGATTTGAATTTAAATCCATCAGTTAAT